CAATCATCATTGTGTATTAAACCAGTCAAAATTAGCAGGAAAAGCGGTAACAAGGGAGTGGTGTTGGTTGGTTTTCTTAAGACTTGATAACTTGTGAAGGCCTTGAATGGAATGGCTGGGATCACTCGTAACGGACACTGCGGTTAAAAATTCACATTGGAATGGTTCAGAAGTTCAGATGTCATAGAAAAGATTTGATTAGGGTTATTCAAAATGTTGGTTCATTGGTCAGAAGCTGTCACAATTTTGTGTTTACAGTTAAATTTCTCTGCGATATATTACCCTGAGCAATCTGTCAATCTTTTTCAATTCTCTTTGTTCCTTTTACTGTCAGACCTGCATATTGAGGATGATGCCGAGTACCAGTTAATCCATGGTTTCCTAGAACAAATCCCACAGGATGTATTAGCCAGAGCATCCTTTCAGTGCAAGGCCTATGCACGATCCCTTATGCATTGTGAAGCATACATCAGCAAGAGTAGAAACAACTTACAGCAGCAGCTGGGCTTCCTGCAGGTAAATTGGTTGAAAAAATTGGGTTTGATGATCAGAAATAAGTCCATTTGAAAAGTATGCTCCCCTCTTACTCAACATCATGCATTGCATTTGTCTGATCACTTTGAAGGTGTCTTTACAAAGCCCTTTCCTTCAGCCTTCAACTTTGAAAGAATCAAGCTTTTTGGATCTTCTCTGCAATTATCTTGTTGAAGGTTGTCATGCGTAGAAAGACATCCGTAATGAATTCTAAGTTTCAATCCAATGGGACATTGTGTTTCGTCTGTATTGTCTTCTGTGATGATATTGAAGACACTGATGGGAAGGAGTTCAATCCTGCCTCGTTTTGATAATTAAAATGTCCTTTAGCTCAGTTGAAGCGAGTTAGACTTGCCGTGCTTCAATACACTCCATGTGTATTCTGTTTGGTTTGCAGAACACCAATAAAAACTGATACATAGTTTAAACCTTTTACATGGAAAAATTGCAATGGATTTTGCATTTTCGTGTTCTAGAGAATTTTTGAATTGACAGTAGGGGTAGAGTTGTGGAAGATTGTTTCAATTTCTGGAGCCCAATCTGAGACATTGGAAGACTGTTTCTTGTGTCTCATTGTGTTATGCCATTTTTGCAGAAGCTGTACATAGCCCTAGATGAACCAGACGGTGTCCTTGGCGTATCAGCAATTAGACAAGAAACTCCAACACTTCATGAACAGATACTAGATCATGAGAGTAGAGGTCAGAGGACATGCCATCTTTCCTGTCATCAGTACCCAGCTCTCCCCTTGGCCATAACACAAACTTTCAGGATCACTGTAATTTGACATATCAACAAAATGTCAGTGCTCTGGTACTCGCAGCATTACATTGTCACAAATGATATGGCCCTATGACATTAAATGATATGGCCCTATCCGGCATCAAATGATATGGCCCTATGACATTAAATGATATGGCCCTATCCGGCATCAAATGATATGGCCCTGTGACATCAAATGATATGGCCCTATCTGGTGTCAAATGATATGGCGTTATCTGGTATCAATGATGTGACCTTATCTGGTGTCAAATAGAGTTAAAAGTGGTATTGCTGTCCTGCTAAGCTTTCCTGAATGTGATGAGTTCATGGCTTTTTGTCATTATAGGTAATTTACGGGATGCCTCTGCTTGCTATGAGCGAGCCATTCAGTTGGAGCCTGATGAGCCTTCCCATCACGCTGGGTTGCTTCGTTCATTGATGGGTCTTGGACAACTTACCACAGCCCTAGTACATGTCAACGGGGCATTGGTTGAACGGTGAGGTCATGGTTTACTTCTGTCATGAATTGGTTTTTGGATAGCTCACCTCAGCCCTAGTATATGTCAACAGGGCATTGGCTAAACTGTTGGTTCGTGGTAGACTTCTTCAGATTCATTTAATTACTGTGTTTTTCCAACAGCTATTCACATATCGGATCTGACATTGGTATAAATTTAATCATAGCTGTGCTGTTGAACCTAGCTGAGTTTTGCTACTCCTTTATTTAGATACAGGTAAAAGCTGGAGCAATATTGTCTTTGATGCATGTATGCTGATGTCACATCCTAAGAATTGTGATGTATCAGTGAGATACCTTACGTTGAAATTGATGCATGGCATTTTGGCCTCTGATTGGTCATTATACACAGAGTCTAGCAGCTTATTCTGTGAGATGTATTGTTAATTTATTAACAGCCCTGATTGGATGAGCAAACTGAATGCTTACCGAGTTGAGGCTTGCTGGAAACTTGCCAAGTGGGACACATTGGAGACACACCTCAAGATGGAGACAAGGAACACTTCTGACTGGAACGTTGGACTGGGAAAGATTCTCTTGGCAGCTAAACAGAAGGTCTTTGATTGATTTCATCTTAAGTAATAAGTAATCTGATCTGTTTTCCCTTATATCTGAGGTTAACTCTTCCTGGTTAAAACATCCCTAAACTATGCACTGGGCACATTTTGATGCTAAAGTCAAAGCTGGTTGATAGTTGAGGTGTCAAAAAATTCTCTGTGAGGCAAATGAGCATGAGTGGCAATGTGTGTCTTTTGCTCCCATTTGGAGGGGAATGCTGATTGGTTTTTTTTTATCCTAGAATGAAGATGAGTTTAAGAGACAACTGAAGGTTGTACGAAGTGCTCTAATGGGTCCACTGTCAGCAGCTAGCATGGAGACTGGATCTTACCAACGTGGCTATGAGTACATCACAAGGTATCTACAGCATTTCATCCTTCAATCACAGAAATCTTCAAATATTCTCAACTAGATTGGAAGTGAAAAATTAGAACAAGTAACTTGGAATATAATCAGAACACGGCTTTAGGTTTCAGGGCTTGAATTGAAGAGAGAACACCTGATGACTTCTTGGCATTTCAGTGTCTCTGTTTGAATGATAAAGAAATTTAGCAGACTGGAAAAAATTAAGACAAATGCATACAAACTCTCACAAACAAAAGATTAAATATTGATGTATAAAATTTTAGTGTCTGTTTCATCAGGCAAAGAAAACTTGTTGCCAACCTAAAAGCGTCTTCCATTAAAAGTGAAAAGAAAAGTGGACTTGTGCAGGACAGCTTGCACAACAGTGGCATTTAAATCTCCGAGGTATGTCCACAAGGTTGGGGATACCTGAAATCAATTTTTTTTAGTTTTGCTCTTAGATTATTATTTCTGCAAATTATAATGTTACATTACCGTTTGATTGCAGACTTCATGTTCTGCGTGACCTTGAGCAAGGCATCCGTTGCCTCGGTAGCTTGCCACTAAATGCCTCAACAAATGAGGGAGATACCATGAATCGTCATCAACTCCTAGCTTCATGGGATGTTCGTCTTTGCATGACACAATCATCATTCCGCACCCAGGAACCATTGCTGTGTTTACAGAGGATTATGCTGGGACTGTCAGAGAGGTGAGATTAGTTGGAGAAATTCATCTTGTCAGG